CATAAATAGGCGACGGGACCTCCCCGAGACCATAGGGCGATCTATACGACGCCCCACCGGCCGAGAGACTATCGACCCCCTCGACCGAAGCCTGAAAGAAGGACACTCCCCGAAATAGGGAATCAAAATAAAAGAGGGAAAGCCGAAGGGCCGCGCACTCGCCGGTCTTAAGCGAAATCCCAAAAAAAAAAGAGGGAAGCCGAGGACCGCGCACTCGCCGGCCTCTAGCGATAAAAAATAAAATCCCCACAAATCAAGCCACATATTTGGCTAAGTACATATCAGACGAGCGCCCAGCGCAGTCCCTCATCTCAGACGAGCGTCCAACGCCGTCCCTCATCTCTGACGAGCGCCCATCGCCGTCTCTCATCTTAGACAAGCACCCAGCGTCGTCCCTCATCTCAGACGGGCGCCCAACGCCGTCGTCTGAGATGAGGGACGACATTGGGCGCTCGTCTGAGATGAGGGACGGCGCTGGGCATCTCAGACGACGGCGCTGGGCGCCCGTCTGAGATGAGGGACGGCACTGGGCACTCGTCTGAGATGAGGGACGGCGTTGGGCGCTCGTCTGAGACGAACACACCAAATCCCTGTTGCGCCGAGAACAAAAGCCGTCGACATGAGAGCAACGACCACCTTCACCTTCTGCCCCTCACAAGGTAATTAACTTTATTAATGGTGGTTCTGATTTATCCGGACTAACATACTCTACAGCAAAAAGACACGCTCGGGAATACACCCAAGACAAGTCATCGCACATGTGCCGAGTAGTCAAACACGAAGAAGATTGGAGGAACGTGTCGATTACGTTCGATGACACCGACATGTTAGATCCAGTCGACACCCATCATCACGCTCTGGTCATCTCACTCCGTGTGGCCAATTGTGAAGTGAGGCGAGTCCTAGTAGATAATGGAAGTAGTGCCAACATCACAACTATGAAGATGTTGGAACAAATGTGCTACAAGGAAGAGGAAATAACGAATTCAGGATCAACCTTGGTCGGATTCAACGATGAGCCAAGTCGCACAATAGGTAACATGTCCTTACCCGTTTACACCAATGGTCTTAACTTACAAGTAAAATTTGATGTGGTCCAAGACCTGCCCGCGTACAACATGATACTCGAAACACCCTGGCTGCATCAGGTTGGGGCAATTCCGTTGACATATCATCAAGTCGTCAAGTTTCCAACCCCGTGGGGAGTACAGTCGATCCAAGGAGACAGAACTGCGGCCAAGTCATGCTACCAAACCGCCATGAAGTCGACAGCAATCCCAACCGCATCAACTTAGCAATTAAAGGGCGACGCCATTCTGGAGGAGGAAGATGGTGACAAGACAGAAGACATCGTCATCGACCCAATGCATCCAGAATGGGTCATCCGCATTGGAAGAAATGTGCCAGCACACTTAAGAGGAGAACTCATCGATTTTCTTAAAGAGCACAAATATGTCTTTGCCTGGAGCCATGACGACATGACGGGAGTTGACCCTAAAATCATCACTCACAGGCTAAATATGAACAAAGCACACAAGCTCGTCAGACAGAAAAGGAGACGGTTCGCCATAGAAAGGAACAAGATCGTCAACCAAGAGATTGAATTACTGCTGCGCACCGGCAAAGCTCGGGAAGTCAAGTATCCAGATTGGTTGGCAAATGTCGTCGTCGTGGTGAAAAGGAAAGGGAAAAAGAAGGGCAAGAAGGCGAATTGGCGAGTATGCGTCGACTTCACCAACCTTAACAAAGTGTGCCCGAAAGATTCTTTCCCAATGCTACACATTGATGCACTAGCAGACGGGACGGCAGGGCATGAAATGTTGTCATTTATGGATGCATTCAGCGGCTACCATCAGATGCAATTACATCCGAATGACCAAGAAAAGACAGCTTTCATCACATAGACATGTGTACGTATTGCTATATCGTCATGCCTTTTGGTTTAAAAAATGCAGGTGCGACCTTCCAGAGAATTGTGACTATGATGTTCAAAGATCAACTGGGAAAGACCATGGAAGTCTACATCGACGACATGCTCGTCAAATCAAAGAAGACAGAAGATCATGTTGACCACCTGCGCGAATCGTTCAAGAAGCTGAGGGAGTACAATCAGAAGCTCAACCCGACAAAATGCACGTTCGGGGTGACGTCAGGAGAATTTTTGGGCTATATTGTCAGCGAACGAGGAATTGAAGCAAGTCCGCAACAAGTTCGAGCCATCCTCGACATTGAGTCTCCCAAGTCCATCAAAGATGTCCAGAGGCTGACTGGACGAGTTGCTACCTTTAACCGCTTTATATCAAAGTCGTCAGATAAATGCCGCCTGTTTTACGACGTTTTCAGGAAGACTAAGAAGTTTGAGTGGACAGACCAACATGAGCAAACACTCCAACAGTTGAAGGAATACATGACTCCTCCTCCTCTGTTGGCCAAACCTAAAGATGACGAAGAACTGCAATTGAAACTGGCTGTGTCAGAGCATGCCGTCAGTGCAGTCCCGACTAGAGAGGAAGAAGGACATCAAACTCCAGTCTACTACATTAGTAAGTAATTAAATGGACCGGAGTCTAGGTACGCACTTCTAGAAAAATTAGTATTAGCTTTAGTTACCGCTTCCGTTAAATTACGCCCTTATTTCGAATCACATAGTATATGTGTCCGCACTAACTATCCCATGAAGTCAATCATAAGGAAACCTGAATTAACTGGTCGGATGGTGAAGTGGTCAATACAGCTGGGGGCGTACGATATCAGATACGAGCCAAGGACAGCTCTCAAGTCATAATGCTTAGCTGATTTTGTGGCAGACTTCAGCCCTAAGTTGCAAGTAGACGCTGAAAAGGAAACCTGCCTACTCATACAAGGTCCACCTCGACAGAAATGGGTGTTACATATTGACAGGCCTCACCCAAACAAAGCCTTAATTAGGGTTGTGAGGTAAATTCCATATTTTGCGGCTTGTTCACCGATGTCATTTTCTGATGATCCTCAGTCAAATATGCTTCGGAAGCTGATGAGTTCATGTCACTCTCGATAGCTTATCGCTTACCTATGTTGGGCCTTAGAATTTACTTGAGTAATTGGGCTGGAATTTTATGTAACATGAAGCCCAACAACGATAAGGAGAAATCCATTTTCACAATAAGATAAAATCAAGAGGGATAAGGATGTTCAATACGGCCCAAGTCAAAATGATGGGAAGAAGAGGTTAAACGTGGAGAAGAAATGGGGGATAAGGTGCGTAACTTGGGGAATGAGTGAAGGTGACCTGATTAAATGTACTTCACGGCACACTTTGTTAAACACGATCAATTTCGATCAAACTCACCCAAACTCTATCAACATACTTGTAACCAAGTTCTCAAATATATAGACAGTACAAATTATCATCAATTATTTAGTTCAGAATCTTGTTCTTGATTAGGCATGGACCGAGCCCGGGCCGGTTCTAGCCGGGCTTTTTTTTCAGGATGTTGGGCCCAGAACCGGCCCGAGTTGATACCGGGTCCGGGCCAAATTGGACCGGGCCGATCCGAACCCAGTTAAAGGTAATTTTGTTTTTTGACTTTGTAATTAACCCCGACCCCCTCCATCACCCCCATCCCCCAACCCCCCCAAAACACCCCAGCCCTACCGGAAAAGAAAAAAAATTGAAAAAACGAAGAAAAAAATGAACTGGGCCCGGCTCGGACCGCCCGGGCCGGTTAATGAAAATCAAGGCCCGAGCCCGGCCCGCCAGACCCGCCCAAACCGGGCTAAAGCCCGGAACTGGTCATCCGGGCCCGGTTCGAACCGGTTGGGTTCATCCCTATTCTTGATCAAGCCCATAGTAGATTCATATTTGTTCGATTCCTTTTTTATTTTAGATTAGTTTATTTTTGCATAAACAAACTCAGGGGCTTTTTCTTGAAACAATGGCATACATATTACTTCTTGGGTTATTGAAGACAAAAATATGACCATAAATTGATTTTACGGAAAAGTGACTGAAATGATCTATCAATCGACTTTCAAACCCTTAGCCTAATCTACGACTTCCAAACCTTCCGTCATTCCCAGAGTACCAGACCAAGCCTTCTTCTGCGAAGACGACGCCGCAGCTTCCCATCGCCCTCCTTCACAATCTTCGGAGAAGACGCAAATCGCCGCCGCCTATATTGCCCTCACCTTCTCCGTCACTACCGTTTCTCCAATTATTGTCCCCCTTGACCTCGAGCCGGTAACAGAGTTGGCGTAGGTCGTCGTCGCCGTCCTCTCCCTGAAATTCGCCGTCGACCTTATCCTCTTGAGGTTGCTGCCCACTTTTATTCTTCTTATTCAGTTTGTGTTTGATCTGAGGGCAACGGCATTTGGGCTCCATGGTGTCGCCACCACATCCGTTGTTTTTGATCGAGTTGCTGGTGAGAAACGACCATGGCTAAGGTTGTTGTTTTCGGGGCTGGGGCTGGTAATCTGGGGAGGCGGGCTGGAGAGGGGGACAGGGCTCGGGAGGCGAGCTGGAGAGGGGGACAGGGCTCAAGAGGCGAGCTGGAGAGGGGGTTGGGACAGCCGGGCAGGGCAGGGGAGGGGGCTATGGCTGGGGCGTGGGTTGGTGGTTAATGGGTTTGGGGTGTGGGGCCAGTGGTTGCTGGCGGCTGTGGCCGGTGGTTACCTGCGGTTGCGGCCGGTGGTTTCCTGTGGCTGTGGACGGTGGTAACTGCCAGAGAGGTGCAAGGGCGAGAGGTGGAAGGGTGAGGTTTTACTGACCTGGCGGTTGGTAACTATAGCGCGACAACGAGTCATTAACGGTGGTGGCGCTACTGGTGGTTTACAGCTTCACCGGAAAAGGTTGTTAGAAAATTTTCCGATGATCATAATGACATGTTTCACGACAAAAGTGACATTCAAAAGTGACATTAAAATCCAACAGTGAAATGTAACAATGACGTAAAAATCTGACAATAACATAAAAAACGATAGTAACCTAAAAAAACGATAGTGACATCACGTTTTCCAAATATGTGACCTTTTGGAAACTGGATTCTAGGAAAAAGCCTTTCTTCTTTCTCGATCCCGCTTTATAGCATCTATCTAGTGAAGAAAGAAAAGATCGCATTGTTCGCTAGAAGAAGATTTCAAGATGGCGGCGATGGCTCAGCTTCATTTTTCTGCTATTGCTGTTCCGAATCATTCTCAGAGTCGCCATCTCACCCCTCTATGTCAGCGTCTTTTTTCTGCCAATGGATCTTTGTTTGCCAGTAATCTCATAGTTTCAATTTCTTCCAAGCAACGGCATTCAGATTCGCTCCTCAAACTGCCTCCCCTCTGCGCCGGCAGCGGAGGCGGCGTTGGTGAGAGTGGGTTCGGAGGCGGCGGCAGTAGAGGTGATGGCGGCGGGGATTGGAGTTCCGGTGGCGATTCGGATGAATCGAAATCTTCTTCTGGGGACAATTTCGGACCGATAGGAGCCTTTCTCAGCGGATGGAGATCCAGGGTTGCTGCCGATCCGCAATTCCCTTTCAAAGTTCTCATGGAGGAATTGGTCGGTGTCACCGCCTGTGTCATCGGAGATATGGCATCTCGCCCTAACTTCGGACTCAACGAGCTCGATTTCGTCTTCTCCACCATGGTCGTGGGCTCAATCATGAACTTTGTCCTCATGTACCTCTTGGCGCCAACCGCTTCCTCAGCAAGCCAAGCCCTACCTTCCATATTCTCTAGCTGCCCACCAAGCCACATGTTCCAGCCCGGTTCTTACGGCCTGGTCAGCCGGGCAGGCACTTTAGTGTACAAAGGTGTGCTCTTTGCTACAGTTGGGTTCGCAGCTGGGCTGGTGGGAACAGCCATTTCGAACGGACTGATCAAGATCAGAAAGAAGATGGATCCGAGTTTCGAAACACCGAACAAACCCCCACCAACCATATTGAATGCTGCCACTTGGGCTATTCACATGGGGGTGAGCAGTAATCTGAGATACCAAACGCTGAATGGAGTCGAGTTTGTGCTGGCTAATTCAGTCCCGGCATTGGTGTTCAAGAGCTCGGTGATCGTGTTGAGATGCGTGAACAATGTTCTCGGGGGGATGTCATTTGTGGTGTTGGCCAGGATGACTGGTTCACAGAGCGTCGATGATGGAGAAAAGAAGACAGTAGCTGCATTAGAGGAGGATGAATTGGCTGCTGAAAAAGAGAGATTGGTGAATGCTGATGATTCCTCAAAGTAATTTGGTCTGTAAGCTGTTCATTTTGTGTTGCACTGTGTTGTTTATTATCATGATTTTAGTGAAAATAAAAAAAAGTGCACGTGCTGCATTAGCGCACGAGTAGGTTTAGCCAGCCTTTTTCCCAGAGGATCAAAGCTACATTTCATTCCTCTTGTTGTTGCGCTTTTTGAATTATAAATGCAACTGATTTTGATATTTCTTAGAGTTCAATTCTATGTTTATCAATATGGGACTATGGGATAATGGGAGCTTTAGCTATGAATGGATGCAAGCGAGTATGAATATTTAAAACCAGAGAATCAAATTTGCTTACAATGGATACTTTCTTTTATACGTATTATATACAAAACCGCATATGCCTTACAACTGGTAAGTAAACGGATTTCCCCCCTCCCTAAACGAGTATTTTTCTCAAAATAAATTGCAATTCAGCTTTCTTATGCTATCCAAAAGCACTTTCAGTTTGTGAAAAGATAATGTGATCACATTTTTTATGCGTGTGGTGTATGTTAGTAGGTGTGTGTACATGGATCACTTCCAGTCCCAAGAAAGGGGAAATCAGTACAGGTTCAATTCTGAGTTAGATAAAACTATCCGATTCAAGTTCAGTTCTCACTCAACTTTTGTGCCATTTAAACTTTAAAATAGAAAAAGAATTCAGTATTGAAAGAAACCGCTGGTGTTGAGGCTCAACAGTTGAGCTATTTCGGAGGAACCTGAAGCATAGCGAGATGTCAACACTCCACCCTTATGGTAGTCAAAGGTTCTCAATGTGGCACAATGAGAAGGGTCCATTGACTAATGAGTGGATGGCTGGGATGGGGCACCTCAACTATATACGTGACAATGGCCACAAGCGGACCAAAATTACATGTAAACAAGACAACTTTAGTATTGCAGATTATCCACAAAAAAATTGTTGATGACATGCTCCCAAAAGTTATTACTTCATATGGTCAATAGTCAATACACAAGTGTTCCTCCATCTTCTCCATGAATGTACATTACTGAATTAGTGTAACATAAGGGTTCGGGGTTGGGAGATTCCAACAATCATAAGAGGATGATTCTTCTGACAACAAAATGCCTGAAACACGACTGTTGCCTAGACAGCTGCATGATGATTCTTTCGCTCCAACAACCATATACAAACTACTACTACGACCTTGGGTACCAGAACATGCCTTTGATACCCTCAGGGTCAGGTTGAAACCCTAGGTTCTGATAAAATTCAACAACTGCATTTAAAACACCGTGAAATCTGCTAGGTTAGCTTAGTCAAGCAATCTTTTAGTCAGGCAGAAATATATAAAGATATACTACGTATTTGGTAAAAACTCACCCTAATTTGTATGTAATAAGTTGTGCTTACTCAAGAAAATGTATATGGTGCATAGTCCCGCTTTTAATAAATAAATATCTTTCATTCACACAACCATAAGTTTTCTGATCATTTAGGCATGGTACCTTGACTGTCAGCAAACAATGAAATATTTCCAATGTCCCTTTGCAAAAGTGTCCGAATGAGCTTCTCAATAAGAGTCTTTCCAAGCCCTTGGCCCTGTGTCCAAAGAACCATGACTACAACTGAGCCGTAAAAGATATACTTTTTTCTTTTTAAATTATTTAGAAATCCAACAATCCTCTATACCTATGTAGGAATATATGGAAAATGGTAGGATCGGTAAGGAGTGGAAAATGTGTTCTATAACAAAATGATTGTTTTTTTCAACGTTTGGATTTAGCTTTTGTAATCATTATATGCTAGAAATATGTATACAACTTTTGTAACCGTTATATGCTAGATATATATAAACAAAATGAATTAAAACAAATGTCTAAAATCAATAAACTGAGATTGAACTAGTTAAGATGTTTATAATTGGACAATGATCTAGTCTGATAACTATCAAAGTCTGGTCTATGGTCTTCGCTAGTCCGGACTGGTCTGGAACTGAAAACAGTCCAAATAAAAACATCCTTATTACAAATGGACCCTTAAGGATGATGTAAAAGATAACCTGATAGGAAGGATCTACAAGAACATCCCAAATGGTAGCATTAAAGACATGGTCTGATGTCGCACGTGCCATACCTATCAGCTTCTTTTGGACATTCACCTCTGCCAAGTAGTAACTAGCCCAAGTACATCATGCCGTTTGTCACTTTCTTTTGAAGGATTAAGAATAACTCACTCCAAAAGATACACAAGCACACAAGAACAGGGAATACATGTTCTACCTCTTTTTACTCTAATCTTGTGCTAGCTTTGAGTCATGTAACAAAAGCACTATAATCTTTTCTACTAACCAATAAAGTTATGGATAGCAGTGTGTGTTGGGAGAGTGCTAGAGAAGGGTTTCAGGGAATAGTAAAATTATATCAAATTTATCCTCAAATTATCGCACCTGACACATTCACTTGGGAGAATTTTACCACCATGAATCCTGCCAACCATCACCCTTCATATTACCACTATACCCTATAACTATTGTGTACTCTGTGTACACATCAGCTTTCAATATCTTTTTATTCTAACCTTTCACAGCTCTAATTTAATAAAAGAAACACATTAATATTTCAGGCATGCATCTGTAAGAAACAGGCTAGTCTTCATGATACCACAGATGAAGCTAAATACCTTCTTCTGTTGATACTATTCTAGAATGTAAAGTTGCCACGATGTAGCTATTTTTAAGAGCTGTGGCGAGCTTAGTCAGTGGCCTTCTAGGCCAGCCAACCTGTTGAATAAAAAAACAGACAGATTAATTCCACATGTCACCAAACATCGGATCTAGATTACAGTTCTCTGAAATGCAAAGTTTTTATTACACAGCTATTTCAGAGCTTCAATATGTTTGAGCGACCTATCCATGAGGGGCCCTTATACAATAAGTTTGGTTAGCATATTTAATATAGATAACATGTGAAAAGGATTACAATCATTCCATGATTAATATAACTAATATTTTCATTTTGTAATAATAACAATTTTGTGGTCGGTGTTTAGCAAATACAGGAGAAACAGAGCATACTATAGCCAAAAGTAGCATGAATCTGATATGTTGGTTTGTTAGTTAGCCGGTGAGGGACAAAGTGACAAACATTTCAACAATTTCTATGTTAGAAAGACTATGTTGCTGTGAAGTTATTCCATAAAAATACCACTTTCCATCAAGAAATCACATCGACAAGAGAAAGTGAGAACCCAGCATTTCTGAAATGCTAATCAAACAGGGAACATGTTTCCCAATTTTTGAACTACATTTCCAACTTCGAATACAGTGAAATGTGATCTCTACAGAGTGTCCGTACTTCTTAGGTATTAAAAAATAATATATATATATATATATAATATATATATATATATAGAGAGAGAGAGAGAAGTTCAGGTCCGGAATTCCGGACCAGAATCTCCGTACGGCCGCCGCCTTTTCAGGTGGTTCCCGGTGGAATTTTTTGATGAAATGTTTTTAACATGTTCTTTATGAAGTGTAGATTATGTACACCAAATTTCAGCTACAAATGCAATCAGGAACGCAGTCAAATAATTTTTTGAAAATAACTGTGTTTTATATGTAAACTTTGGCGCGTTTATCTCCCAAAAATCATTTGTCTGCCTTCCCGGTTGATTTTTTAGCTGAAATTTGGTGGACATAATCTACACTTCATGGAGAACATGCTCACAAATTTTCAGAAAAAATACCACCGGGAACCACCTCAAACAGAGGTGGCCGGACGACAGTTTCGATCAGGACTTTCCTGACCGGGAGATTACTCTCTCTATATATATTATATACTCCATAATAAACAGTAAACGGATACAATTTATAAATTATGGTAAATTCATAAATCATAACACATTGAAATGGTGGGGTGGGCTATTTTACCAAAAGACTTGAACAATGTTGTTAAAATGAGATCGATGAGTACGACTCATAGAAATGGAATTAAGGGAAAAGGTCATTCCAAGGAAGTGAAAAGTGAAGACAAACTGAAACAGGGATTCAGTAGTTGTGTGAACTTCAAACATGTCATTTAGCTCAACAATAAAGAGCTTCATAGAAAAGGGCAAACATAAATCACCTTATCGCATAATTCTTGAAGATCATACAAATCAATATCCCCGCAAGAAGAAAATATAATCTGTTCAACTGCCCCATCTGGTAGAGGCTTTTCAACTAGAATAAATTCCTCAGGCACATGATCTTCCTCTTCTTGGACAGAAGATGGAGGCTCGACCAAACTGTTATTCTTTGAAAACCTGAAACACGAAACATTTCAAGTTTCATACTTGATAAAGGCAAGACCAAAATACAGTGAAACTTTTCTGTGAATCCTTACACCCAAACAAGAAAAAATCATATATGAACTTAATAGTACTTCAAAGAAAACAGATAAGCTATAGCTTAAATGCAATCTGTAACCAAATCATGTAGAGAGAGTAGTTTTTTTCGCAAATTGGTAAACAAAATACACTAAGGAGTCAAGTAAGAAAATGTTCAAACAAACCAGGATTCAGTCAACAAATAGCACAAACATGGATTTGATAGACATGCGTCAGACAATAGTAGAGTATTTGCAAGAGTTATGATGTACCCAGATGTAATTGCTTCCCAGAAGCCAGCACTCAACTGAGAGACCTTGAGATTCCTGCTACCTATAGAGATGGTAGAGAGCAAGAAAGCATGAAAAGGGAAACACGAAAAAAGTCTTTTGAAAAGATATAGGCTAGGAAACGTGGCAAAGTGCACAAATATAAAAAATATGTGTGCATGAAAACCAGCGATATATTTATAAGTACTTTTTATATGTGTATTGATATTTCATAGAAACTTTGCTACATAACCAAAAAGATAGTCTACATGTAAAAATATAGATAATATAAACATATCTAGCAAATGTAACACGGGCCATGGAAGATCATAAAGATCATGTTGATACGAGTAATTGAATAAATCTCATAAAAAATCACATAAAAATCTTAAAGAAGGGGGCCCAATATTCCTGATCAATTAGAGGGACAAATATTCCATTTATATTTCATTATAGAAACGGCACAGAAATGGTAATTTGAAGTTTCCAACAGTGTCCGAATTAGTGAATGAAATATGAGCTTTGCAGAGTTTCCGTGCTTCTTAGGTAATTACTTCCATTTTCACCATTCACATAATAACATGTTAAAATGTAAGCCGTGGATTGACTTCTAGGATCTCACAAAAAATCAAGCAAGGGAGTTGCATTAGAAGCTCAGGATTTTTACTCTTCAACTAATGAAATTTTATTTCCAATAATGTCGTTCAAAGCAGCTTCTTTTTTTATATTGACAAATTCTGCTATAACATTTAGGGTACGTTTGGATGGAAGTTTTGGGAGAAGTAGAAGGCTTTCCAGGGATTAGCTCATTAGCCTGTATGGGAGACATAAAAAATGCTTCTACGAGTCTGAACTATATATATAATAAAAACTAGCCTAAGAAAACCAATAAACCAAGGTGAGACCCTACATTTAAATCTGTAGAAGAGTGAAAGCACCTAACCTCTCGCAATCCCAGAAGGAATCTTGCAAGGGAATGAAACATCGTTTCGTATTTCAATGCCGGGAAAGGCAATACAAAGAACAGGATACCTGCAGCCGTTATCAAATCCAAGTAAATGAAAATCAAACACCTAAACTCAAGAGCTAACTAAGGTTTACCGTACAATGAAGAGGAGGAGGAGCAGGAGGAAGGCGTCATGTAGGAAATCAGGGCTCCGGTTTGCATCTCTTTTGGGATTCGAAGCCTTTAAAACTGATAGAATATGACTTGGCGATCTTTTGACGTTGGAATAGAATGAATGGCCAATGGCCCGGTGCTCTGCCAATGATTTCCGGTGGAAATGGGTTATCAGTGTAATACTAGAGTGATGATAAGAAGTGGGAGTATTAGATTTGGATATTTGAATAGTATTTATCTTAGATATCATGAATTATAATCCTCTACCCTTAAAACTTGAATTAAACTTGAATTTAAGTAGTACAAGAATTAATAAAATAAAAATTATGTTATTCATATTTGTACATGAGACAAAACTAATTGGCAATTCCAATCACAAATCAATTGACCAAAAGGGAAAATTATAAAGTTTTGGGATAGCATAAAAAAGATGACAAAGTTTTTGTACTTTTATTTACAAGGAAAAGATGAGTAAGAGTACATAATATTTTACATCTACCTATACTTTAGTATAAATCTGATCTCAAAAATATCAAACTATATTTCGTAATCTACATCTAAATTCAAAAAGTGAAATTGTCACTCACACTTTCCCAGAAAGGTGGACGAGTAAATCATGATATGGGGTGATGATCTCAAAAGTTTCTGAGTGAAATGGTTCAAACTCTGGTGTGCTGAAGGAGCTGCCACATTACATGAAATTCTCACACTGTCGTTATCAAGGATGGAACCTAAGCTCCCAATCCAACAAGTGCACTTAGCAACCGTTGAGCTACATGAGCGGGTAAAAGTATATTATATCAAAAATTGAAACAATGTTTACATGTTCTAGAGCCCGTTTGGTAACATTGAAATTGGCTGATTCGGCTGAATGTGCTAAAATTGACGAAGTTCTGGCTGAACCGACTCGATTGGCTGAATCTACTAGATTACGAAAAAAATAATATTGAAAATATATTTATGAATAAAATAAATAAAAAAACTATGAAAAATAGTTAAATAGATTGTCTACTGTGATTTCAACCAATTCAATCATAAAAGTAACTCCAATTTTACTTATTATGATTCAAACATTTATCGAATAATTCGAGCACAAACATGTTAATGAGCATAAACTGGGCTTGTGCATTTGAACTTTATCAAGTGCTCATGAACATCTATGGAGCCAAACACAAGTCACATTTGTATAACTTGTCAAGCATCAAGCTCAAACCCAGGGGTGGATCTATGTAGGGGCTGGGGTGGGTTCCAACCCAGGCCAACTCAATTTTTTTATTAATATAGAATTAGATTAAATTTTAGCTCACTCCTAATGTAATGTTCAGCTCACCCTAAGAAAAGGCTGCCCAAACATTTTAATAGCCCAAACAAGCAAAGTTAGAACTATTATTTGTGATTTTTAGAGCTTTAGAAATGTACTTTTGTTATAAAGCTACTAAGAAGCGCAAAACAAAAGCCGGAAAGTCTCAACTCAGCAAAGCCATGAAGACACAAAAAGTCACAAACATAGGCACCCCGCCGCACCGCCACCTGCCTTCTTGGGCCCTGCGTCGGCCGTCGGAGTCCCTCCAGAGTCCGAGAATCCAGCCTGTAGCTCGATACAGCTCTGCCTCTCTAGTTTATTCGAGTTCGACTAGCTGCCTCTAGCCGAGTCTAGTTGTTCAGCTGTCCGCATATACTCTAATACTCTTTAATTTATTATTTTGTGTATTAGTTTTTTAGTTTGCAATTCTATTTGATTATTAATTAAATTTTTGAGTAGATAATAAAATAGTGTTTTTTCATTTACCCTCAAACTCAGTTTGAATAAAATAGAATTATTAATTCTTTTTTTTTTTTACTTTTTAAATAGATTTATAAAATTGCACTAAAAATATTTACATTTTAAGATAATTCAATTTATTCCTTTATTATGAGTTATCGACAGGCTCGAGTCCGGATCGAATTGAATATCACTATGCTCGAACTCGGTTTGAATAACTATTCCAACTCAAAATGTAGCTCGTGTTTGAGTTCAAAGCTCGTCAAATACGCTCAAACTTGAGTAGTTCGAAAAAAGCTCGGTTCGATAACAACCCTCTGCTAAACTTTTTGTATGCATTAACAAATTTTTTTACTGTTTAATCCACCTCACTCTTTATTCTTGGATCCGCCCAAACCCAAACACCACTGTACTACTACCTAAACCAGTTGAACTCGAGCTCTGGGTTTTCAGGTTTGGCTTGGGTCACTACAACCTTAATCGAAACCAATATATGCTGTTTTAGATTGTTTTATTTACGCAAAACTCGAAACCAAAAATGATCCACGAGTTTTGAATAATAATTCGTCCTTCTACTTCAACCACAACAATGTCTGTTTTGAACAACTTCTATGACATCTAAACAATTATCTAATACCGACTTAAGTACGTAGTACTAAAGTCTAAAGCTGATCGTTTTATCTAGGAAGCCAACTGACCTCGTAATCTACATGCAATGTTCCAATTTTTATTTTTTCAGTGAAGTCCCATTACCTTTTTTATTATGTTTATGCGTTTACGTAAACTCCTGGTAACCTTGACTTTGCCACTTCTTTTCATAAAATTTACTCCGTATTTCAATAATATTTATGAAAAAAACTCTTATTAGGTTCCCCAAATAGAAATATTGCGTTTTTTCAAATTAAATTGTTGTCATGTTGAAACTCATATTTTGTCTTGATCATCATTAACATGTTATAATTGACCGTATTATTCACAATTATTACTTTTAGTTAGAGTACAATATAAGTTTACTATTTCAGAATACCATTTTATTTTAATTCAATTCAAAACAATTTTCGATTTATTTGTTAATTGGTACTCCCTCCGGTCCGTATTAAAGTTCTCACTTTCCTTTTTGGAATGCCTCTTATTTAAGTTCACACTACCATTGTAGGAAACAAAACAGTGCAAAACAGTGTCCAAACAGTCCCAAACAGTGCACTCCACAGTAAAGTCAAATTTATGTTTTTAATCTGTGTGAAGTCAAACTGGGAACTTTAATAGGGACCGGAGGGAGTATTCTAAATTTTCATTTTTAATCCTCATCTAATTACTAGTAACTAAAGCTAGGGCTTGCAAACAATCAGACCCAAACAAGATGTGTTTGGAATCCTACTGCCTCAATGTTGATCGACGCACCAATATTCACATACACCATCATACAACATGTACAAAGTACAAGTCTCACCAAGTTTCCCACATGCACATAAGACTGCAGCACTTTAAGCTTGAATTTGTATCGTGCATGTGCCCAATGTTAAAGTTATATACAAGAAGTTCGAGTCAAAAATAAGTTATGAGGCTCATTATATATCAAACCAAACTGCTTCATCCCTCTATGGTTAAAAAAATTTCAATGTAGTCAGCTGTTCAACCCGATCCACTCTTCAGTCTTCACTCTGCCCTGACTATGCATAAATGAGCTAGGCTATTCATAGAATCATAGACAACAAAACAGTCGCTCAAGTGAATTACTCATTTTCCTATTCACTCTGGATGGGTATTGCTTGCTTCATTTGAGTACATGAATGGCATGGTCGGGCGCTATTTCCCTCAGACAGCTCCCCCAAGATAGGCATACCAGACTGTCAGCATTTTACCTGTGATTAACTATAGATATCAATTAATAAGGTAAAAATGAATCTTTATTATGCTATTAAGGTATGACGATGAAATAATGTTGGGAGTTGGGACCATGCATGGGATTGGCTTGTGCTTTACTTATCAGTTGGTGAACCTACATTTCTACCACCCTTTTGCAAGTCAAGAGTTAAATCCACATAAAATGGATTCAAAGACATAAACCAACTTATAAAAGCTACGGAGTAGAAGTTTTGTGAGACCGCAAACATACTTGTTTTTGGTACCTCCTAAAACATCTAATACTAACGGAATTAGACAGCCAGTTATATTCAAGGTGATTCAACCTTATTTTTCTATGCGGGAGTTGGATTGCACCAAAACCATTTTAAGATGAAACCCAAAACTTGATAGCGGAAAAGTATACTAGAAATCAGCCACAAAATTGTTTCAGAAGTGTAAAACGTATCCCAACTATGAACCAGAGAATCCCTTGCTCCTACCAGTTTTTTCCTTCTGGCGCCCTTGATCTCCGCGCATACTTGTGTTGCTTCCCACCAGCCGGACCACCAAAAATACCTATCCTTCCTATGCCTTTGGATATAGAGGTTAACAAACTTTTTCCATGTCCTGATTTAACCACCATCCCTTGTTTCATGGACACTTGTTCCTTTTCCAGATCACTTAGTCTCACCCTCATTCTTGATATCTCAAGCTTTAATTCCTTGTTCTCTCTCCTCAGAGAAGCATATGTGTCTCGAGGAGACACAGCTGCACTAGTGACACCGCTGCTTATTTTTTGTGACAGAAATCCGTCTCCTGAATCCCCAGACACGACACTTCTCAAACGGATCTGTTCAAAGTATAGAACTTTCACCACCATCTTCACAGGGAGCCTGTCGTTTTGTGCAGCATGGTTGCAGGCTTCTTGAGACAGCTTTTGGCAGTCTATGAATCTGCATAGCTTTTTACATTCTTGCTCAGATAGCTTTGGATGTGCCTGCATAATATTTCCAAGATTAACATCTTCCAGTTAAGAGTATCAGGTAGATATACTGAAGATAGACATATGAGTTCAAAATGTAGTGAGTAAACTAGTATTAAGAGTTGAGATCAATCATAAGAGATTAAGACAATAGGAGTGCTTCAATGTCTCAAATGTGAATTTGTATTTCATATGCGGTCAATATAGGATGACTTAAGATGCCAGTTTTAATATGAATTTGTATTTTATATTTGGCCCATACATGATGGCTTAACATTGCCCCACAAGATAATGACTTGATGATCGCTCCGGTGGAGTATACCAATGATAAATCCCATATGCTCATTATAGAGTCTTATGGGGATTGCTCGTTGGAGTTTAAGAGACTGTGATATCATGTTAAGATTTGAAATTTCATTATAAAATGTTAACTTTTTATTTAGAAGGACTAACTCAAAGCCTTTATACGTGAGTTTTTATTTATACTTGTCCAATTTGACATGACTTTACAATTAACTAGTCGATTAAATTCAGTATTTCAATGTGGTTTGACCAATGTGTATTATGACCCAGCTTAGTGACTCAGACCTAATTACTTGGAAAGTGCAATGTAAATTGTTTTCAAAAGTTAGAAACTTCACCTTCAAATAGATGTCTATAGCTCGATAGAGTCCATCATCTAATACACGAGCATAATCTGGTAGAACCGCTATCATATCGATGAACTTATCAAGACTCAAATACGGGTCAGGAGCGATTTCGGCTAGATAAGCGTCAATGAGCTGTCCAACTTTCAATATAGAGCCATGGCTTGGAGAGCCGATAGCTTCAGATTCATACCCACAGTCCACATTCTCTTCATCTTCGACCCGTTGCAGAAAATGCACCAAGATCCGGTGGACCATATCGATGTCAAACAAAGAATCGCCTGTCTGAGTGGAAGGGATGAGAAGGTCATCAAGTAAAACCATTTCTAACCGGCAGGCAATCCTTCTCTCGAGCTCTAGCCTGCATGCTAACGTGGCATCCACCACGATCGCCATCCTCAACATTGCGAATAGAAAACTTATTGGGACATAATATGACGACCCCTTCTCTTGAGGCAATAGAGTGACGAGGTTCTCGACAATGAGTTTCTGTTTGTTTTCTACCACAATAGGATATGCCCGGGCAGGGTTCCATATGTGCGGTTTCCCTATACCTTTTAGAAATACATGTGCATAATGCATCAATGATGCAACAATGGTACTAGTCCGTACCCCAGCTTTGCCCATAGCAACAATGAGTCTATGGTAAGAGTCAATTCTAAGAATGGAGAGATCTTCAACCCACCATTCCAGAGATCCGCTGTCATCTTCAAAATCCAAATGTGATAGACCAGATACAAGTTGCTCTTGACAAGCAATCTTGGCAATGGAGTCAATGCATCTCCCTGGAATCCCTAACTCTTCGGCAGCAGGTAGCAATGTATCACAAGAAGCCAAAACTTCGATTGACTTCTCGAGACTATGAGCCACCACTTCATCCATATAGGTTTCTGTACGCGAAACGAGGCTCTCCTCACTATAATCATCATCCATTTCCAAGTACTCTGCCACGCAACGTAGATGCGCCACATTTGCTGTTGTGATTTCAAAGTTCATGCCATAACAGAACTTTACTGCAAGCTGGAATGCCTCGGCCCCACCTGGTAAGTGATTCAGTTCAAGTTCTATATGGTTTGATGGATTATTATTTGCTTCTGCCACCATTTTTCTGATCTTCCCACTTTGAGATACCAGAGGAAACTAATCAATTTAAATAAATAAAAAAGTTAACAGGATATATTACCTTTGGAAATACTGAGTATTGTGGAAAGCAGGAAATGGAAAACAATGTACCTTGTGAAGAAGGAAAGACTCTCCATCAACATGAATAGTAATATCCCCTGCTACATCAGAAAATATACTGCAGAAACATAGATTAGTCTGAGTAACTTGCAATAAGACATTATGCAAAAATGCTATGTGTTAATGAATGAAACAAAGTATACAGATGAACATACACTGTTTGACACCCAACTGCTTTCACATGGTGGGAATTAAGAAGGTTTGGAAAGATAATTTCACAAAACTTATAAAAGTGTGCATTGGTGAGCATATTTATAGATACATACAAATATTTCTAAAGAAGTAGTCTATGGAATAAAATAAGATACAAAAAAATTACAATTGCACCTTTAGGCGATGTAGCCCAATTAGGCCATTTAAAATAGGATTTTTTTTCCAATTCAAGACCAAAATATGTTTGTTATCAATCAAGAATTTGAAATATAAAATGTACTACTGATGAAATATGAAATATGTTAGTTTAGGACTTGATCAATCAAAGGCCTAAAATATTATTGATCTTGATTTCTTTAATCGTTTATTTATTTAATTTCTAATATTGATGAATTTTCCTGCAAAAATTTATTGGTTTAATAAAAGTAAATAATATTTAAAATATTTAAAAAAAACATGACATTTAAGTCTTAAATTGATACTCCGTAGTTTACAATTATTCGGGTCTTATGTAAAAAAAAACATCAGGATTGATATTTAGAATATCTTTTAGATCATCGATTGAAAAAAATCCTTCTCAAAGAGAAAAATCATCACCCAGTGAATTCAAATAGAGTTATCTTGTTTGGAATTATATAGGGCCAATTATATATATTACACTTGAAAATAAAAATAAAATAAATTGCCCGTAATAGTGTTCTGTTTGAGTCATATTCTCAAAATTAAAGTGCACTTGAAAAAACTATGATTGGTACTTGATAAATTTGAAATTTCATATTCCCTTTCAATTCATCCTGCACTACCCTTCTAAATCCGGCAAGTAAGATGGAATTCTAAAATGCCATCATGATTATGGTAAAATCAACATGGAAATATGACTTCCAAGATCTAATCTAATAAAATGGAAAGGATTTACTTGGGGTTGATAAATTGATAAAACAGAGATGGATAAGTATCAGGCTATTAGCATGTGAATTCCAGAAACAATGAACTGAGCCATATGTAAATAACTAAATACCAAAAGGTTCAAAATCAAAGCCTCGGATTCAAATACTGCCATAAAACGATGGACTGAGTCGTACCGGTTGGGGGATGAGCTTGCGGGAGAGGTGATGGCACTAGCGGGCGGCGGAGAGCGGCAGGAATGGGCGGCTGGGGAGTGTTGCTGCGACAGCGTCGCCATTTCTCTTCTTCTTCTAATGGCAGCTATAGTAGTCACCTCGGTCACTGAAATTGTTGGTGCTGGGAACAATAACTGATTGATGTAACACTACTAAAGACTAACAAACCAGAAATTCTGTCTCCCACACTCAGCAAAATTAGCTTTTCTTCTTTAACAATCTGCTTTTGCTTTTACTTCGTTTGGTAGGAATGTCTTTTCACCAATCTCGATAATCCTCTCTTTTTCTTTTTTTCAAAGAGCACTTTCTTTTTCTTCTTTTTTGTCCAAAAGGATAATAAATGCACTTCCCCAATCCTATTTTTGGGTCATGCACGCAAATGATGAAAACTTTTAATTTCAAATTTTATGACATTTTATTAAATCCTCTAAAAAAAATCTCATAAAGAAGTTATCATTTCAGCGGCAACTTGATTCCTGTTCATACCCAAATTAATTTTAATAAATATGGAGTAAAATTTATAAATTCAAAAATAATATTAAAAATTTTACAAAGTCTGATCAAAAAAATTAAATTTGATAAAAAATTGATATATAAAATAAAAGATTGAGAGTGATTTAAGTTGACCACGTGAATAGTGAATAAGAATTTCATTTTGGGGCTGAGGTAGTATTTTATTAAATAAAAAATAAACATTTTATATCTAAAAAATAAATATCCTCATCTCATAAGTCACAATGATTTTACCTTAAAAAATCCAATTGTCCCATTTTACATGTCATTTTTTTTACTTATTCGAAAATAAATGTCATCATTTGGGGGGAGAAAACTGTTCACTTTATTATACGGAGTATTGCAATCTCAATCATAATTTTCACTTTATTTAAAAATTCGACTATCAATCTGATTTTGGACATAGTTTTTTTATTTCTACAAATTTTTTAGTCTAATATTAAATAAATATGCATATTTTTAATTACCAGCATTCACGTTGAAACTATTGAGAAACGTTAAAACTTAGTGATTCAGTGTTCTACATCAATTTTAAAATGAGGTAACGAGTATTATTAATTTTTTTATAACAATATAAAGTAGTCATTCATATGATAAATATCTATAGGCGTGTGTTTGTATATACACATGTGTCATTATTGTTTGTTCTCATTTTCCATTTTGCTACATTCCAATAAACTATATATTATTTTCAAATCATAAACATTTTTAAGCTCTTAATCATGTCATGTCATGTTACATTGTTACTCAACCTGCTGCCTTAAATTCCATTGTACAGTCGGCTGCAACTCACCAACAAAGAACGACAGCCAAGTCCGTCGTTATATCCTCTTTCTTCTAGCATGATTATCAGCACAGTTGCTTACGGCTTCTGCAAATTCACAAATCTTATTCCTTGAGATTCTAGCTTTTTCTTCCTGATCTTTCTAAGCCTCTCATGTAAAAAAAATCTCAAACAATAAAAACACAATCATGAAGGTCACCATCAAACTTTCCACTTCTATGAAATTATATCTCCAAATAATTGAATGTCGATCTGATTTATCTCCACTTCTATAAATTAGGAGCTCTACTCATTCAGGTTTGCATTTATATTGCAAGAGTTATTGGGGACAAGACTGATGGGTTTGATCACATACACAAATGAATATTTAGCATATTAAAAATGAGTATAAAACCGAAAATGAATGAGCCTACACAAATGAGCTTTTGAATTTTTTGATATTCATTTGGTAACTTATGTGTGCTCATTCCCAATCGTTTTATGCTCATTTTAAAAGGTTGCACATTTCAAACATATCATACTACATTAGAAATGAGTTTTATGTTAAATTCAAATGAGTATAACGGCCAAAATGAATGAGCACACACAAATGTGTTTTTGATTTTTTTGATACTCATTTTGTAAGTTATGTGTGCTCATTTGGTACTACTTAATGCTCATTTTAAAAGGTTGCACATTTCAAACATATCATACTACATTAAATTCACATATTGAAATTAATTTAAATTGATTATAGACATAACTTAAGACTTTATAATAAACGAAAAAATAATAAACAGAAAATGATATATAAAGTATGAAGCAGAGATCACTGATGCTCATCGTTAGACACTTACTTAGACTTCTAATACTCAAACAAACAAGTTTGATGCTCATTAAACTTGCATAAATGCTCATTTAGGAGAATCCGCGATTTTCACAAAAATTACAAGTTTGCCACCGGCTATACAGTGATCACTATACAGCTAGTTGTACAGTATACGGATTCGCCTGCTGCTCTATCCGCACGTTAATTTATTCTAATTATTTCGATCTCATAATATAAGCTCCAAAATTAATGTTATGCAGCTGCCGGATTTTAAATTTGGTTAAACTCGAGTGAAAGTTGAGAATTTGAATTCTTGAACCACATATTTATACTGCATGAAACGTTACCCTGCCGGCTATTTAATTCATGAAATAATGGCATCAATATTACTCCACAAGTTTCTAATTTCAAAAATATGACCACTTTAGGATTTCCCAAAAAACTGATCTCCCTCCTCTGTCTTCCGCGTGAGTCTTCCGCAACGAGGCCCAGATCTGCGCATCTTCTTCCCTTTCGTCCCAATCAAAAACTTCCGATCGTCTTCTTCAACTGATGTGCGCTCCTCTTCAGACCTGCGCTCTGGGAGGCAAGAGATGCCTTCGCTCCAGGTCGTTCGCCTTCGTCGGTGGCTTGTAGCGACACACCCGTAGCCACCGCCTCCGCGCGTCGGTCTCCACCACCGCTATTTAGAGACTCATCGCTGCTGCATGCTCCGATATGGCCTTCGACGTCGCATTTCCGCACCACAATAGCTATGATGCTGCTTCAAATACTCTCTTCTTCTTTATCTTCACCTATGCCTGCGAGTTTCACCGGAATGCACACATCTGATGTCTCGCGAAGTTGTTGGTGCAGGGGTAGAGAAGATGGAAGGGCAGGGGCGGAGGTTGGGAAAAGGGCAACGAAGACGCTAGTAATCGTCAGATCTGATGGCGGCACCTAAAGCTAGGGTGACAGGTCACAACTGCGCTCCGTATTGGGGCGGCTGTGAGGAAGGAGAGCGGGGGTGGCGACTGGAAAGCGGCAGCGACGGTGGTGTGCGGCGGGGCAGCGGAAATGGCAGGGGTGGGGGCTGGAGAGGGAGCCGGTGAGGCTGACCGCCGGAGAGGGGCGGCGGCAGGGTACCTGCGTTGGTGGGGAGTGGTGGGAGGTCTTGTGGCCTGTGGTGAATATACGTTTTTTACCGGAAAAAGTCGCCGGAAAATTTATCGGTGATCAAAGTGACACCCCCTCAGTGACACCAGCGGTGGCTTTGGTGACTTTGACGGTGGCTGAAGTGACATGACGGTGGTTTCAGTGACATCGGCGTAGCAATAGTGACATAAAAATGTGATAGTGACATATAATAGTGACATATTTTTTTGCAGTGACATAAAATTTCGTAGTTACATCAAGTTTTTCCAAATGTATGACCTCCTTAATCACTTTTTTGTCATTTTATAAAAATAGTCACTTTTTTGGGAATTGCCTTTAATTTGGTAATATTGAAGGAAAAACCCCTTAATTCATTGATATATATTGTGTGTGTGTGTGTGTGTCTATATATATATATATATATATATATATATGGAGCGGTTCCGGTAAGAACGGACTCCCAGGAGAGAAATAAGAACGAATCTGGACCGTTGGATTGTATTATGTGGAACGGAAATGTGCATTTGATGAAACTAAAATGTGTATTATATGATACTGAAATGTGCAGAATAAAATCTAAACTCAATTGTGCATTAGGTGAAACTGAAATGTGCGGAATAAAATGTACAAAAATAACATCACATCGTACCTTTTATTCTACATATTTCAGTTTCACCTAGTGCACATTTCAATTTCACCTAATGCACAATTAAGCTTCACATAATGACATTGTATCGTACGCTCTGTGTTGCACATTTTAAATGCACATTACAGTTTCATCTAATGCACATTGAATTTTACTTAAAGCAAATCTAACGGTCCAGATTCGTTCTCATTTCTCTCCTAAGATCATGTTCTTATTTGAACCAAAACCTATATATATATACATATATATATATATATATATATATATATATATATATATATATATATATATATATTTCATAGCTGCCATAAACCAGGGCCGGAGCCAGGGGAGTCAAGGTGGTCAGCCGACTCCGTTGAAAGTTAAGAGTACGGAGCTCTAAAATATCTTCGATTTAATATATTATGACCCCCGTAACTCATTACGAGTAAAAGGTTATGACTTATGACTTCGGGAAAATCAGAACTATCTAAACGTAAAATCAGCAAAATTTGATACATAGTATAGATTATTTTCCCAAAATTTAAAAATAGGGTATAATACACTCAATACTTACATGACACGACTAACAAACAGAGCAAATACAATCTATCTTATTGCTATGAGTTCCTATTTATCTAATCTGCATATGAAATATTCAACTCGAACATTGTTTAAAAACGATCCTCAATTTTCATTTTGTATATATGTGGAGTTTCGACCCCCTGAGCCGTTTTTCTGGCTCCGCCACTGCCATAAACTGTTGGGATATTATGATCATGCATTATGTTAAAAGTATACTCCCTCCGTCCCATAAAATAAGTCTCAATATCCTTTTCAGGCCGTTCCAAAAAATTGTTCTCATTTCCCTTTTTGGGAAGTTTTTTGTGTGGCTAACATTAATTTACCTTTTTCTTACTTAATCACAACCGTACATTTTCACTTTATTCTCACTTTCTTAAACTCCGATCCAAATTGAAGTGAGACTTAATTTATGGGGCGAGTTAGTATTTTTTAGATTCATCAAGCGAACATTTGGTACTTAAAATACTCTTTTCCTTTGTCACGAAAAAAAGTTCGAGCACTCCTAAAACAATGGACAAAATGAAAACTATGATCCCGCATTTAGCCTTCTAAGTCATCAATCAATTTCCTGAAATTAAGGACTCATTTTGTCAACTTTCTTTACCTAAATTGTTACATTGGCTAGAGTAAGGATTGGACATGGATGACACTAGATCCTCCCGATTTTCAAGGGCTTTCGGGGCGCACTAGACAGTAGACACCAGTACACCACACTACAAATTACTCCCTATGATACTTTGAGCTTTAAACTTTTTTTTTATCGTGATAGGCAAACCACAGAATAGTGGGGTAAATGCTCCGGAAATTTTAAGAATTATTACCCTAAATAGAACTAAATTATTGTGTAAATTCCTAAATAGGAGTACATGTGTTTTTATTCCCAAATAGGATTACTATTCCACTTTTACCCTTTGTGCTCCCATCACTTCCGCACACGCGCACGGCCCACATGAGTCTCTCTTTTCCACCGCTCACATAGTCACATATCACTTCTTCTTGACAGGCAGACCACTTTTCCTTCATTCTATTCAATCTATTCATTTTATAGGTTCCAATCTTTCTTCTTCGGCCATCTTCTCCAGGCAACTAGCAACAACTGAGGCGAGCAGGGGTGAGCAGACCGTTCTCCCCCTCCTTCCTCTATTGTTTTTCTCTCTTCCCCTCTTTTGTTTTTGTCGTAGGTCCAATGTTTGGCCGGTTTCTTCTTTAGTTGCTAAAATTGTCAAATTTTCTCTGAAAATGCCATCAAAATGGCATTCTTACCCTTCCAAAAAATTTGTGTTTCCCTTTGAAAATGCCATTAAAATGGCATTCTCGACTCACGTTGGCATTCTGAAAAAAATGATGACAACAGTAGCTGCAGCGGCTAGAGATGAAGTGGCGGTGGCCGGATCTACACTGGTGGAGCCTGGATCTGAGTCGTCGGCGATCGGATTTGCAGAGCCTGGAGTCGGCGGCTAGAGGCGGCCAGATCTATGGCTCCGGCGACCAGATCTGCAACCGAAGTGGCCTGATCTGCAATGGCGACCAATTTTGAGACCGCGGTTGCGGTCTGCGAATAGCGGCGGCGGACGGCGAGCAGTGGCGGCAGCCGGCGGCGGCCGACAAGCAGCAACGGTCCGGTTGTGTCTGTGGCAGCATGTTACCAAGCTTCAAGGGTATCTCTGTCCAATTACAAATAATAAATTCTATTTAGGGAATTTTTAAACTTTAATCCTATTGTGAAAATTAAAGATTCATTTACTCCCATTTAGGGAATTACCTCAAATTTTAACAGTACCTATATTGCGTATCATTTTAAAAAGGTTCAATTATTGGTAGATTCTATTTCCTTAAGGTATCATACATTTGTCCACATGTACCAATCAGAATGATGTAGTTGAATTATTTAAATCTAAATTAAAAATGATATAATGATTTGAACCAATCAAGTGAGTGATAGGTACGATACCCTATTTTTTAAATGAGTGATAATGATTGAAGGTTGGTAATAAGGCATTACATTATCCATTGGTGTAGGGCATTCAGAATCTAAAGGTTTGCCACGCAGTCCTCCGTCCCCATCTGATTCTCCCTCCTCAGCTCTACCGCATGGTCCAGAAGCCAAGGTCCATAGTACAAATATCTAGCTACATTATTCTAATCACATAATCACATCCAACGTTTATTTTAAAATATTACACCCTCCATCCCAGATAGTCTTCTATTTCCTTTTTTGGATGTCCCAAAATGATGGTCATGTTTTCCCTTTTGGAAAGAAAGATGTTGTTCATATCATTTCACTTTATTATACTCAAATTTCAAACACAACTTTTACATTTTCAACCACTTTATTAAAATTTGTGACAAAAAAATGGGCAATTTATATGGTACATCCGGGTGTAAATATACGTCCGGTTCTTTTGTAATTATTTTTTGTTTGAATGGCTATTATCAGACTATTACTTGGTCTGTATTCTTCTTTGCGGCACACCATCTCTCTTTTCCAGGCTTGCCATATTTCCTTCCTTTTCTTTTGTTTTTTTTTTTGGTTTTTTTTTTGCTTTTTGTCTTAAAGACCTTTTCCATTATTTTTTCCCTTTTTCAAATCAACCTTCCTTCCGTTCAAAAAAAAATTAACCTTCTTTTATAAGTAAAATATTTCTTTAAATTGTGCATTATAAAATACTTTAGGTATCAATATTTTTTTCTAGGGAAAAGTACAAAAAATATACTTGTTGTTGAGCCCATTTTCAGATAGGGTCATGCGTTTCATTTTTTATCGAAATGGTTCATGTGTTTGAATTTCGTATCACAAGAGGGTCACGCCGTTGAAAACATCTGAGAAAGACGATTAATAGTAACTCCGATTTTCAAAAGTATCCAAAAAATTAAAAGAAAAATATCAGAAGCTGCGCCTGAACCAGGGTTTTTGGTGAGCAAGGTTTTTGATCCAAAAAATTTGCAGCACTACCGTCATGTTTGGGAAACAGGAAATCGCTAGCTCAAATTTACCCCATGAGGATATTCTCATCTTCCTTATAAGTTTCCAAAGTGAATGTTCATTCTTATCATGATGAATTATGAATGATATCATTGTTTGATGCTTTTGTATAAAAACTACTTATTATAAATAAATTTTCTTAATATTTCTCATTATAAAATATACTCATAATTGAGTAAAAGAATTAATCATATTAAGGGTATTTGCAAATAATACTTTTGGATGAGTTTTATCTTATACTCAAATGAGTATAATGTTTACATGAAATGTGTATTGATATAATGTTCTAAAATAAGTTATGAGTACTCATGGAGGTTTTTAAAATGAATTGTGTGTTATACGATATTGAGTATACCATTTAAAGTAAATGTGCATTTATTTAACATTAATGAACATTTGAGTTCATTGGAGATTTGAAATGAGCTTTTGAATTTTTCGATGCTCATTTTGTAAATTGTGTATACTCATTCGGTTTTGGTTGTATGCTCATTTTAAAATGACATTAGTACATTATATTAGATTCACATATCGAAATTCATAAGACTTGATTATAGATATAATTTAATACGTTTTTATAAAAGAAAAAAATAACAAAAAAAGAGTGAATCAGAAGTTATGAAGCAAAATTCACAATGCTTAATATTGGAATTCTAATACTCAACAGAATATGTCTGATGCTCATTAAAAGTTCATTAATGCTCATTTAACAAAACCCGTGATTTTCATCTCAATAGGTGAGATTTGATGCTCAATTCAAATGTCATGATGTTCATCTAACAAACCTTACAATTTTCATATCAATGTTCACTTTGTAAGTTATGTATGCTCATTTGTAATTTATATTATGTTCATTTATAAAATGTCATATCAATGCATATTTCTAAAGTATCATATTACATTGGATTCGTATATTCAAATTAATAGGAGTGAGTTATAAATATAATTTAACAAGTTTTTATAAAAGAAAAAATAAGAAAAAGAACAAAAATTGGAAGATATGAAGTAGAGATTGTGATACTCATTGTTAGCCCCCTAAAACTCAATAAAATAGGTTGGATGCTCACTAAAGTTACAATATTGCTCATTTAGCGAAAGTCGTGATTTTTCGCCTAAATTACAAAAATGCCACCGATTTTTTTTGGCCTTTATTAGTTACTGGGCTCTCTTCCTTAGTTGGGCCGGGTGATATAGAAGCAGAAAGAAATGAGACTATCAAATTGGGACGGAGAGAGTATTCTTTAGTCCCATTGACTTGACTTTAATTGTAACTTTCAGTTACCTAGGATTAGGAATATTTATCATATTTCTATCTGTATTTCGATCAACTGATGCTGTGAAGCAATTTTTAAAAAATTAATATTTCCTTAAGCTTATTAATCGTTGCATGTTATTAATCATGCATGTAACCGCGCGTACGTATCTCATGTATTTTTAGCATATAAAAGTAAACATCTTATTTTCTCGGGTTACAAATCTTATCTTTTCTACTAATTAAAACAAACAAACAAAAAAAAAGTATGTACGTTCATTGACAGATGTAGTGCATACTTCCTATAACATTATATTCTAATTTTATTACATTCCAAGTAAGCCAAGTAACTAAAATGTACAAGACATTCTTTGGACTCGTGTCACTCGCAAATATTCTCCTCTCCTAGTCTCTTCCACTGGTGGTCGATTTCTCTTCTGCTATATATGACTCTAACCATCACTAGTAGAAAACTTGCTTACAGTGACACTTTTATAGTGACACTTTTATAGTGACACTTTCTGATATAATGTCACTAATAACACAAAAGTGTCACAATTTTCTAAGAGTATCAAGTAGTGACACTTACATTTTTTTTACGGAGCATGCTTGAATGAATTGAACTAACGCAGGCCTAATTACTCAACTAATGGGCAGGCCTACTACATACAAAAAATTTTATACGGAGTAACACTTAGGCGCTATTGTCCATCGACTCCTTTTCAGAACTACTGCATCGCTCCTTTTCAGAACCCTAGCTAGCTGTGCGCCATTGTCCATCGTCTTGATGTCGTTCGCGATTCTCCGCTCCTGGTCTGCTGCGCGACTCACTGGTAGTCCTCGCTAGGTCTTCTTCTTCAGCGATTGTCGTCAATTTCAGAGGTATGTAAATAATCCTTCATCTCCTCTCTAAGTAATCCTTCACTTTTATCAGTAGAATATTTTGATACCGCAGTGTCACTAGAATATGTGATATAAAAGTGTCGCTGAATAGTTATGTCGCAAAGGTATCACTATTTAGTGATACTTTAGTGTCACTAGAGTATATGATGTAAAAGTGTCGCCGAATAGCTCTGTCGCTAATGTGTCACTATATTGTGATATCTTAGTGTCACAATGCTATGACACTTGTAGTGACACTTAAAAAGTGTCACTTGTAGTGTCACTAGCCCCTACTTTCAGCGACAATTTTTTAGTGTCACAGAAACTTTCAGTGACACTAATTTGGTGTCACTGTAAGGTCTTTTTCTAGTAGTGCATGCTCGGTAAGTCTAGTATGCAGCACTTCAACGATCTTCTCCAGTAAATATTATCATCCTCCTTCTAGCTCCATCTTCTTCTCTCCCACCATCGCTCCTCTATTTTCTTTTCTTGATTTTATTTCTATTTTCTATTTTTTCATTTGTTTAATTTTTCAGATACAAAATAAAAAATTGCTACTTAGATCTGGAAATTTTGGAGCTTTTTTTTTTATTTTTTCAGATTTATCTGTTTAAAAAAATTGAATTAAAATATTTCTTATCCTTTTCAATATGGAATTTTTTATTCAAAAGTTGAATTAAAATATTTCTTACCCTTTTCAATTTAAAAAATTTTATTCAAAAATTGAATTAAAATATTTCTTATCCTTTTCAATCTGAAAAATTTTATTCAAATTAAAATTGAATCAAAATAGTTCTTATCCTTTTCAATCTGGAATTTTTTATTTAAAAATTAATTCCATCTCAAGATGGAAATATTAGATCTTTTCATAGCACATAAGTTGTAATGTCATGTTTGCATTCAAAAAAAATCACATTTTTGGCAATTCATGCGATTACAAGGATGGTACCATTTTGACATTTTGTTCCATGGTTATAAAGCCATGTTTTCCTTCTGAAAATTGATATTTTTGCAATTAATGTTAAGACGACACTGAATTAGTAAGGTGGCATTCCACCGTAGTTCTATGCGCAGGAGATAGATCTACAACAATTTCGCTGGACGAGAAGGCGGCAGTGCCCGAAGGCACGGTTACGGAGCTGTATGAGGCGGGTGGAGGCGACCACAACAAACTAGGCGGCCTGTGACGGTGATTTTAGATGCAGTGGCCGGCAACAACGATTACATATGTGGCGGCAAAATGTATCGCCGGTGAAGTTAGCTTTCACACACTCATTCTGGTGTTGTACAACATGTCTGTAAAGCTTGTATTATTATTTTGTTTTATAATATACTCTCTCCGTTCCATTAAATTCTTCAACTTCTTTTTTTGAGCCGTGCCAAAAAAAATCTTCCAACTTCCACTTTTGGAAAAAATACGTGGTTCACATTCATTCACATTTTTCTTACACAACTACAACCATACATTCTCACTTTATTCTCACTTTTTAAATTCTTCCAAGTTTTACTTGGAAGAAATTATTGGGGCGGAGGTAGTATAATATTAATCATTAATAAAGAAATCGGTTACTCTATAAGGGTAGTTTAGTCTGTCCAGATCTTTTTACTCCTATAAATTAAAACATTAAACTCCTACTTTTGCACTTTTAGCATGATTTACTCCTAGTTTGGGAATTCTCTCAATTTACAA